TTTGTCCAGACCAAAACTCCTACAGTTCTATTTGAGCCGGCTACCCGGGATTTGAACCCCAGGTCGTGAGCACAGTTTTAGCTGCAGTACAGCGGTTTAACCACTGCGCCACGAGGAAAGTTTGAGGCCACTCCCTGGAGGCAGAAGGAACTACTTGTCCAGACCAAAACTCCTACAGTTCTATAGCCAGCATGACTAGAGGCCATGATGATTATGGGATTGCCAGCACTTCCCCGCTCTGCTGGTTTGCTTTTTTCCTTTCCTTCCCTTTCTCTTTCTGTCTCTCTCCCCCAAGTGTGTCCGTATAAAAACGATCCCCAGAAATATACCACTCCCCTCTCTAGTGCAGTTTCCCAAATCTGACTTTTCAAAGACCGAGTTACCTCTGAGGACAAGCAAACGTATCGGTTGTACAGGAGGAAAAAAGGGGTGTATTTGGTCACACAACTGATGGACGTGCGGAAACCGAAGAGAACTGGGTCCAGGGATTCGTCCCACTCGCTAGGTTTCTCATTCACGAGGCTGCAGATGGAGGATTTCAAAAGTTCATTGGTTTGCCTGTCCAGGCTTGTGCAGCTGGCGGGGTCAGCTGACGTCAGGAGCTGGGAGATATTCCACCTCTCCAGCAAAAGCCTGATTACCTGCAGAGAAAACAAACACACTTGGATGTGGGGGGCCTGTTTCAATGGTTCAGTTTTTCCTTCGCTGGGGATAGCAACCGAGCAGCGATAGAATACAGAGACAGAGAGATACTCTGTTTAAATTTTCTGTAGATCATCCCCCCAACCTCTGGAGAGGGGTAAACAGCTATACAGAACACTTAGAAGCTGTGGCGGGTGTGTGTATGTGTAGGATAAGCCATCCAGTACATAGGTGATGAGGATGCAGGGTGACCTATACATTGCAATAGGGCCTTCTGACAACTGGAAAGTCCTATACAGTATAGGCCTCTATCAGCCAAGACTCTTAAGGTGCCGAATTCCATTCTTGCCTCGTGTGAATGCAATCTCTGGCTCCTTGTTGGTCTAGGGCTGAGGCCCCATCTTTAGCTGGCCAAAATGTTTATAGATGACAAGCTGGAGCTGTTCCCATCGTCCAGCCTTTGCAGAACTGGCCAGGAGATTCTGGGGAGTTTCAGAGGTGTTTTAACCCACCTGGACAGGGTTGGGAAAGGCTGGGCTGCTTTAAAGCCGCTGGGGAGGCAGCTTTCACGGACCTACCTCTTCACAGAAGTCCCAGTTCAAAGAGCAGAAGATATTCTTGGATGCCCCGAACCTTAATAAGGAAACCAGATGAAGTGCATTAATAACCAATCCATGAAAGACAGCAGCATGCAGAATGTTGTGCTGGCAGAAACCAGGCTGGCGCACGGAGATCTGTAGGAGACGTCCACAAATAAGACTAAATTATTTATTTTCCATTAAGCCTTAGGAAAAAGCTCTCAGTCCCCCCCTTGCCTTCTTCTAACTACTTTTATTTATTAGATTTATATACTGCCCATCCTTGCCTTCTTCTAACTAATTTTATTTATTTATTAGATTTATATACTGCCCATCTAGAACGTGCCTACTCTGGGCAGTGTACATATAATATAAAAATAAACTAAGATCAACTAAGCCTGAATACCGGTAGCAGGAAGAAAACCACCAACAAGAATACTTCTGTAACAGCTCTGTGTCCAGAAGCTTCACATGTATATCATGCAGGGGCCAACTACACAGCACCTCTGGGAGCAGACTGAAGCTGGAAGATGGCAAAAGATATGAAGGCCGGCTAATTACTTCCCAACAGAGGTGGGGCCTGGACTGGGGATTTCCTGATTCCTATCTTACTGAGCAAACCTGTATGTTTTGAAAGTAAGTTTGGTCAAATCTAGAGAAGCTTTTCTAGCACTGCAAACCCTGTCTTTTAGTACGAAGGTGCGTATGTGTCTCATGCATTTTTAAACCACTCTCAGAGGCTGAAAAGGGGGAAGAAACTGGAGCCTGCTGACTCCTTATTTTATTTGCCAACTAACTGTAAAAGTGAGCAAAACAACTTGACTTTGGAAATCAGCCTTTCCATGGGGTCCAAAAAACACACACCAAATACCAGCTTTTCCAAGATACCCAGTATCCACACCTCCCCCAAGACCACTGGTAATGATGTGGCTAAAAAAATTCTATAAATAAATAAATAAATAAATAAATAAGTTACAACGTGAACAGCTTAAATAGGTTCCCTTCCCTTTAGAATGATATATCGCACCAAAACCAGAAGAGAGGAGCGCACCTGTAGAATAAGGAAGCCAGACCTTGGGCCACCGAGAGAGCATCTCTTTTCTGCAGAGGGATGGCCTCTACCCATTTAGTGTACTGGTCCGTTATGGCCAGGACATGCGTGTGGCCCCGGCTAGACTCTGGGAACGGTCCTAGGAAGATCAGATCCGAAACGGACAGTCAGTAGTCATGACGGCATCAGAGAGGGCAGGGAAGTGCAAGGCAACGGCTATGGAGAGAGTAGCCAAGCCAAAACCTTGGGCATGGAGGACCATTTCGTGGTTCAAATCGGTGCCCCGATCTCTGTCACATTTTGTTTCATCTACCATTAAAGAACCTTTAACCTTTAGCAAGCCTTTGAAGCATTAAGTGTGAGAAGTAATTCATTTTACTCATTTACTCCAATAAAGTAACTCCCACCCATTCTGTTGCTTCATTAACGGCCTTAACACAACAAAAATTAAATTGCTACAGGCAACTGCATTATTATTGCAATGTTTATGTCAGTGTGAGTAGGAAGAAGTCTACATGCCCAAGTGTTGTGGGTGGAATAATTTTTCGCTGAAAACACAACCCAGGTTAACATATTGCTTTAAGGAGTGAAACCGTAGTAAAAAGCACATTAAATCTTCCCTGCAGATCCCGAATAAGGCAACTAAGGGGGCAGGATGAAGAGAGTAGAACCGGCATTCAGGAAAGAAGACAACCTAATCACAAAGACTCTTAAGGGTGACAAATTAAAATCAAATCTGCAGCATCTCAGGCACCAAGCTGAGAAAGACCCTGGAGATATACTACCAACGGCTGTATCAGGCAATACAGGGTTCAATCTGTCAAGGGTTTGCATCCGAGGAAAACAGGTTTATATGGATGTGTGATTGGCATTTTCTAAGTTTACAATCATGCAAGCCCTTCTGTGTGTGGAGCGTCCTAGATACATACCATAAATATCCAGTCCTAGAATTTCCCAAGGCGATTCAACCTTGATAGGTCGGGTTTTTTTGGACAGACTCTTGCTGTGCTCTGTGTTTTGGCAAGTCTCACACATTTTAATCTGGGATGGGGAAAAAAGGGATTAAAAACTATAGTTAAAAATGAGGACTCTAGGTCTTTCTAGTACTCAACACTTGATCCAGCATCACTCCATAGCTGTGATTCAAGGAGTTTCCGCGGCTTTTTAAACATTTACCCAGTCCACCACATCCTTGACAATGCCCAGCCAATAGTAGCGGCTCTGAATCCGGTGCACCGTCTTTTTCTGCCCCAGGTGGTTCCCAAGCTCTGTGAAGTGGCTCTCCAGAAAGACCTGCCGCCGCCTCTCGGGGTCGACCACGACCTCGCGTTTTTCTTCCTTCTTGGGACCCACGTAATAAAGACAACCACCTGCCGGAAAATGCCAGAGCAGTCGAGTAGTTATTCTAAGAGACCGAAAAGGTAGCACAGCACGGAGTCTTCCGCTTTCTCCAACCCAGAAGACCCCCACCTTTAAACTCTCCGTGCCTGTTCATTATTTTCACTTCTTAGGTTCCGTTAACTCGAGTCACCCCTTGTTTCCTCCTCCCCCTTGGGCTGCACAATACGATTTAAACACCAAGCAGTCCATACACAGAGCCATACCTCCGTTAACTTGAGTCACCCCTTGTTTCCTCCTCCCCCCTTGAGCTGCACAATACACCAAGCAGTCCATACACAGAGCCATACATTAAACTCTGTGAATTTATCCAATCCCAAATCTGACACCCTGGGGCAATGAACTACAGGGTTTAATAGGTCTTCACTGGTGGAGGATGTTGCTCAGGGCTGCAGATAAGCATCCTCTGCCCTATGGTTTGCCTTCCTGGTTCCTCCCCATGTTTGCACTTAAATCACAGACATTCTTCAATGCAAGGATGCGTTCAGGACCCCCCAAAACCGCCTTTTCCCCTTCTGTGCCTCATCACTGGACTTCCCAGCCAAAGGGGCAAAAGCTGCACCTTCTGAACTCCCGCCTGCCAGTCGTGGCTCTTGCAAAAAGACCCCCTCGAGTGGGGAGGGGGGGCTGGCTGGACTGGGAAGAGAAGCCCCCCCCCCTCGGTGGGTCTCCTCACCTTCCACCACGAACTTCTGGGCGTAGCGCTTCAGGTTCTTCCTCCGGATGGAGCAGAAGCCCGGAGGGAAGCAGCCTTCGGACAGCAGGCGGAAGATGTCCTCGAATTTGCTGCTGGGGCTGCAGCAGGACTCCACCACTACCTCTTCCTCGGCCACGGGCAAAGCAGAGTCCATGCTGGGCCGAGGCTGGGGAGGGCACCCCTGGGTGGGTGCGTGGGTGGGTGAAGGAGAGCCAAGCCACCCACCGTCCTTCTCCCTCCCCAGAGGCTGGGCTGCTTTCCCAGCCGGCCTGTTTTGCTTTTGCTCAGAAAGGCACCGTGTTGAAAAAATAATAATAATAACAAATCTCTTCCTCCTCCTGCTCTCCCAGTGGAAAGGAACCAGCGGTGCCCGGCTGCCCTCCCAGACAGGCAAGGCTGCCTGACACCCCCGGAGGGACCCCCCTACACCTGGAATCTCTCCCTGGCCTGGGCGCCACCAGCCCGCTTTTTTCTTTTATTCCAGCAAGAGCGACCAATGTGCCAAAAAATAAAAATTGCACGTGCAATTATTTATGCAAATCGGTGCAAGTTTTTTTTTTAAAACCCGTGCATGTCCTTTTGCAACTGCATCAGCCTTCTCACCCTCCCTCCCCCCCACTAGGAATGGGCTGAATTTTTGGCGCAGATCCTGCACGGCTATTTTCTTTCTCTTGTTAAAGGGGTCATTCTTTGCGCTCGGGCTTCTGTAATTTGTCGACGCTCCCTTACAAGATTTTTTTTGGGGGGGGGGGAGAGAGAGAGAAAAAAAGAAAGAAGAGCGTGTTTCCAGCCGAGGCGGTTTTCCCGACGAACCCGTTGCCCTGGAGGCCTGGTCCGTCCCCTTTGGTGTCCGGCCGGAATCATGGAGCCCAGCCACATGGGGCCGGGCAAGGGGGGCTTCTTCGGCTGCGCTTGCTTCTTCACGGAGAACCTCTTTCTGCCCCGTTACGGCCTCCATCTTCGCTACTTCGGGGACCCCGAGCAGCTGCGGAGAGATTATGGGCCGGTAAATCGAGAGCAATGTGGACATTTTACGGAGGACGGAAATCCTCTCTGATCCAAACACCCACTGGCCCTCTTCTGCTAATCCGGATTAGCACCGGGATTTCCAAACGGTGGACCCCTTGGAGTCCAAAGCTATGACTCCTTGCGGGGCAAGGGGAGGGACCCCGGATGGCAGTCTTCAGCCTGTCGCCTTGATTTCCTAAGGAACGCGTCCCTCCTTTTAAGTTTTCCAACGTACCCGGTTTTAGTCTGTTTCAACACGTATCATCCTGGGAGGCACGCACGTCGGGAGGGTGCATGGAGGTCCCAACGGGTGGACACCGGTGACAGGAGGAGGGGCAGGGGCTGGCTTTTATAAAACCAAGTGTCATGCTGTCTTCCTTTTGCAGGCCTTAAGACAACGCGGCTGCAGAAGCGAGGAAGAATTTAAAGCTGTAATCCAAGAGGTATAACCGTATAAACCACTTTGACACGCAGGGGCCAGATTTGATGCTGGAGGAATAACCGCCCCGATGTTGTTCACTCTGTTTATATTTCTTACTTTTTAGCCAAACTGGCATATTTTTAAAATCCATGCTAAGGAACAATATAAATGAGGATAAAATCATACGCTATGCAAGCTTTCTTAGGTAAACCCCACTTCTTCGAGCAGACTGTCACCCAGAGTGTTTATCTCTATAACCATCCAATGAGTTCACAATAACCATCATTGTGTATTCTTCTAGGTTGAAAAAGAAGTACAGAGGAGAAAGGAGTTAGAACGCCAGTCAAGAGAAAGAAAAGCAATCATTTCTCAGAACTATAAGCCAAAACATCCACAGGTCTACACTTTACAGGTAAAGAGCATTCGTTGGCACCCAAGTCTGAGGCAAGAGGTACCCAGGGAATGACAGAGAGCATCTCTGCTCTAATGACATTCTCAGAAAACAAACATTTCCAAAATCTGTGCTCCTGGGACAAAATTCCCTCAGTGAAATGGGTAACAGCAAAGATGCTTCGGGTATCTGTTAAAGCAGAAGTAAGAATTTCAGAGGGGTGGGTGGGAGAAGCATTGCAGAAGCACTGCTCAGGTGGGGAGCGCACAGGGAACACCAACTTTAAAACAGAAGTAGCTATTATTAGTGAAAATAACATTTTCAAGTTCTATTTTACCCCTTTTCTCACTTTAGGAATCATTTCTGGCCCCAGAATTCCTAAAAATGGTCAAATACTGCACATCCAGTGGTGCTTGTCTCCAAGGCCTCCTGAGTCATGTGGAAGTTATATCAGGTGAGTCGCATGTCTCAGCAGCATGTGCACATGTAGTCCACACAGGCCATTGGGCTGCCCCGACACATGTGAAAACTGAAGGGGCCTTCTATTGAGTCCACCTTCCCCAGATTGGTCTGTTTTTATTAAAAGAGGTTCTCTAGAGCTGGGCAGAAATTATATTTCCCAGATCGGCTGCCCCCCTTTCAACGGGAGATGTCTGGGACGGTCCACAGCATCTCTGCAAACAAATCATGGACTCTTCCGGTAGGCAAGGGGCTCTTCTCAGAAAACAAGACTGAAAAAATTTTCTTCCCATTTTAAAGAATATCAACAAAACCAAATTCACCAGAGGTGATCAAGCAAAGAGGATCAAGCATACAAACTCTTTTGTTTTCTTCCCCACATTAGATAAGAGAATCTATCGGCTGCCAGTGTTTGGCAAGGAATTCTGCCAAGCTTTCATTGAGGAACTGGAAAATTTTGAACAGTCTGAGATGCCGAAGGGGAGGCCCAATTCTATGAACAACTATGGGGTGAGAGCTGCATTTTGTAGGTGGAAAAAAACTTGGTAGCAGGTCTTGTTGAATAGAACAGGACACATTTCGAAGCAAACAGGCCTATGATTGGAACCCCACACTGACAGGGATTCTCCAGATGTTTTGAACATCAGCTCCCAGAAGCCTTGGGAAGCAGGACCAGTGGGGTCAAGTTCTGCAAATTGGAGTACGAATTCTCTGAGGGTCAAAGATGGAGACCCACTGATCTTCAGTATGTTAGACAAGGCGTGCCCTTGAGTGCTTAGGTACTTGGTCTGTTGTGAAGTGTTCCCGTTTGCTCCCAAGCACTTAGTATTCGGAGATATACCTGGAGGTTCCCATTAGACATGACGGGTTGCCTGAATTTTACTGTAATATATAAGCCATGCACCATCAACCAGTAAATTCATGATCACCTAGATACCCTTAAGCAGTCTGTTTTTTCTCAGCCACCTTATCTGTAGCATGGGAATAATATTAATGACCTGTTTTGGAGGCTTGTTGTAAGTATTATCATAACAGAATGTCTAGTAAATGCTTTGGACCTTTGACTGTGCTGCTCATGTACCGCTCCATAACACTCAAAGCACTCTCTGGGCAGTTTACATATTATCATAATAGAATGTCTAGTAAATGCTTTGGACCTTTGACTGTGCTGCTCATGTACCGCTCCATAACACTCAAAGCACTCTCTGGGCAGTTTACAATTTATTATTATTCAGCTACACACACACACACTGGTAAACTCAATTTACCAACCTTGGAAGGATGGAAGGCCGATCCAGCCTTGAGCTTGCTACCTGAGCCCGTTAGGATCTAACTCAGGATGTGAGCAGAGTCCTGACTGCAGGACTGCAGTTTAACCATTATGCACATTTCGATTCAGTTCTTTCCCCACCTTCTTAATTACTATCCAGATCAAGAGAATATGAGGCTAAATCACTGGGCCCTTCTTCTAGAAGATACAGCTTGTTCATTCTTTTCAACCTATTCTTTCTCCCTCCATGCAGGTTCTCTTAAACGAATTGGGGATGGATGAAGGTTTCATCACCCCACTGCGTGAGAAATATCTGCAGCCCCTCGCGGCGTGGCTGTACCCGGACTGCGGAGGCGGCTGCTTGGACAGCCACAAAGCTTTCGTGGTGAAATATGCTTTGCAGGAAGACCTGGATTTGAGCTCTCACTACGACAACGCAGAAGTGACTCTTAACGTCTCTTTGGGGAAGGAGTTTACAGAGGGCAACCTTTACTTTGCTGAATTCAGACAGGTGTCTCCTCCTTCCTGAGATTTACTGTCATTTTGCTTTAAATGTGTGACTCTCATTGCATCACGAGAATGTCATCCATAGATTCAGTGCTACAGATATGATGACAGATCCTAGGTTAAATAAGCTTTGAGAGACCAAACCATCCACTAAGCGCAGGGCGGGAGCCATTTGAAGCACAGCTCCTCCAGCTTTTGATCACTGAACATTCTGGGTCAGGCTTCTGGGAGATGAAGTCCAAAATAAGTGAGAATCTTATGTTTCCCACTCTTGTGACCGAGAACAGCTTTTGCCTGACCTTTGAAAGCCGTCTGACAGGAGTGGGAATCTTTGGGCTCTCTGGATATTTATTTCACACTTCAGTCCCCCGTTCCCTTTGGCACAGTCAAAGGGGGTAGTTATGGCTCAAAAGATCGGGAAGGCCAGAGGCTCCCCATATCTGCTGCACAGAACCTGCATGATTAGTGGTAGTCTACCTGTGGCTATTACGTGCTGGGGACAAACAAGATACATTTGTCGCATTCCCACCCTGCTTGCAAAGGCAGCTTTGTTACATATGATATACCAGGCTAAAATAGATAATTCTATATATTTATTATTGGACTTACCCCTCAGGAGTTATCCAGTGCCTTTTACTAAAACCGATTGGCCAGCTCTGTAGCATGTGGCAGCGAAGTCCTTCTGCTGAACAAGGCATGCCGCATGAAAACAGGTTTCCACCTCTCTTCTTATGTGCTTATCCAAAACTGGCAATCCTGTGTGCGAGTCACGGGCAGGGATGCTAATACGGAGCTCTTTCCAAACTCTTTTGCAGGATGCCAAGGCCGTGCCCAAGTATATTGAGGTGGAACATATGCCGCTCTACGGGTTGCTCCATCGGGGAGGGCAGATGCACGGAGCTCTGCCTATTGCTTCCGGGGAGCGCTGGAACCTGATCATCTGGATGCGAGCGTCTGCCATACGGAACAGCCTTTGCCCCATGTGCAACAGGGAGCCTCAGCTGGTGGAAGCCGAAGGGTTTGGAGAGGGGTTCACCAGCAGCCTTCAACAGGGACAACCCAAAACAGTGGACGTGTGCTCCTTAACGTAGGGAGATAACGCAGGATCTGTTTTGAGCCTTGATTTCAATAAAACCATTCCCAGTGGCAGTTCTCCCCCGCCCCCGAGTGTTTTTCATGGGCTTCTCATGGAGAAGGTTGCATCTATGTTTTAATGGAATTTGTCCACTGAAACATTGAAGACACGACCGTGCAATGACCACATAGCAAAATCAGTGAGACGAAGCTACCCAGAGGTGACTTCCTTAGTGACTGGGGTAACCATCAACTGAAAACCTATTTTCAGCAGTGAGAGAATCTTCAGTTTAAACTAAGATATTGTTGAAGCTCTTCCCCAAAAAGGAGTAGATTAACTTTTTCTCCTTACTGTAAATATAGCCATGTTGATGCTTGTTTCTTAAGATCTTTGGCAGATACCCTTTTTTTTCAGTGCCATCATTTCTAAATATAGTTAATAGAAATGCAAAAGGCCTTCTCGGTGGCTGCTCTCAGAGCCTGGCATCTCTGTTCCTTTCTGCTGTCTTCCTGCTAGTGGGCCAAGATGTTTTTATTCTGGCAAGCCTGTGGTGTATAAACTAGTCCGTTGCTGAAGGGATATCTAAATAACTGAATGCTTTTAAAAAACTGGATTAATTTATCTATTTTTTTAAAAAAATTGATTGATTGCTTTAAACATATTTAATGTTTTGACTTGGTTTACCATCATGAATTGCTGAGGTATATTTGTGGCAGGAAAGCAATCTATAAATATAATAATAAAAATGACAATATTGGTTATTTTGCAACATAATGAGGACAGTGATTGCTTTTGGTATACCTGAACAGGAGCAGAAGGACTATCCAAAGGTCTGTTGAAAACAAAGGTCAACACTGAGGTCTTCTTTGAGACAGTGCTGCTTTTTTCATCTTCACAAAAGGCAGGGAAAGGTATATCAGAACGTAGAGGATTTTGTAGTTCAGCTTGCATACGTTTTGCTGTCCGGTTTGTGACTTATGTCTCACTTATGCCTAAAAGTGCAACCAACTTCCACTAGTAGCAGAAACCATCTTCACTTATTATAACAGTCTAGTGGACTCCTTTGAAACCAGCTTGCCATACTTAAGCAAATATTTATGCCTAAAAGTGCAACTTTGTCAGAAAAGCAAAACAACTTCCAGTAGCAGCAGACACCATCTTCACTTATTACTGTATCATTATAACAGTCTAGTGGACTCCTCTGAAACCAGCTTGCCATACTTAAGCAAATATGTAATTAAGGACAGAAAGACTGTCTCCTGAATTCCAGAGTGCAGAAAAAAAATAAAGAATGACAAAATACACAACAGTTAAATAATTTCAGGTAGTCATTTGTTCCTCTGTGTCTCTCAATCTAACCCTCCTTGGTCGGTCACAGCGAGGAGAAACTTGAGCGGGGATGATGAAGACATTGTTTTCAATATTTCATTTGTTCCTTATTTTTAAAAGGCCACAGCTTGCCTTTCCTTCATTCTAAACCAATCCCCACCATGGCTTGTAAGAAATAAAATTTTTGCCACTCCACTTTCCCGACATGAGAACACGGTTTTGACCCTTTCGAATAGAAAAGCATTGTAAAAGTTTTAGAAAACAAAATAAAAGGAGGAGGTTGTATCGAAAGTTACACTATCCGTTCCTCCTTCCAAGTCTAGTCCGGAACGATGAACGGATAGGGAACTAAAATATACGGCTCCAGTTGCCGTGCCGGAAGTGTTTAGGCGACGCACGAGACGCAAACCGGAAGTCGCTGGGAGGCCAACGGATCGCTCGCTGTTTGGGAGGGGGGGGAGGCGGTTTCCCAGGCAGCGGACTTACAAGGAAGGGCCAAAGCAGGACTCCCAACCACGGCCGGTTCCCCCCACGCCCTGCCTCGCTTCCTCTGCCCCGGCTGCGACCCCTCGGCCTGACTCGGTGAGTCTGAGAGAAGGGGTTTCAAAGGGGCACAAATATAGCAGTGGGCCGGGCAGCAGTACGCATGCGCGGCAGTCGTTAGGCGAGACCCTTATCTAGCAAGGTGGTGGAGGCGGGGCTTAGAAAGTGCCGAGGGGGAGGGGCTAGGGTTAAAATGGCATGCCGGGATTGGCTGAAAGGCTTTGAAGGTCAGACGAAGGGGTGGGGCGCTTCTTAAAGGGACCGTAACCCTTGTGAGTGTTGTGTTTCAGGGGGTAATATTGAATCCCTCGCCTGTCCTCTGGAAAATCTTCTTGTTTTTGTTTTTTTTATCCCTCTCAGTAGGGGTGTGGCAGAGGTTGCACTGATTCATGCTCTGCTGGAGCAAGTCACAGGGTTTGCTGTTGGCAGCAAGCGTTGCTTTGCAGGACATGCTGTTTGCCCGTGGAACTCATGGCCACAAGATGAGCCCACGTGGTGGAACAACAGCAACAACAACAGAAGCACATGCTATGCGTATCTACTCAGAAAGCCCTGTCCAGTTTACAGGGGCTTGTTCTCCTTTAAACTGGGCTGGCAATCTAAAACACAAGTGGAAGAAGGGGGTCTTGAAAAGCAGGGCTAGGCTGTCTCCATTCTGATTAGGAGCCACTGGTGCCCTAAACTCACTCACTGTATTAATCCAGTCTTGCTTTAAAGCCACCCAGGTTTGCCACCCCTGCCTCATTTTATGCGTATCTATCATGTTTTCCCTTGACTCACCTTTTTTCCCTCAATCTCCTGGCTTCCTTCCTTCCACTTCTTTTCTATTCCTGGCTTTTGCCATGTCAGAATTTCAAGCCTTCCGCTTAGGTTTTGAGCGTTGTCAGTGGCCAAGGGCCCTGCTGTCGTTGGCTCTACGGGTGCCTATCTTTAGCCTGCCTGAGAGAGTCCAAAACAAAAAACAGCAATTGGAAAGGCAGCAGGATTTTGCCTCTCAAAGTAGAAGGGAGGTTGGTATTTCGTTAACACATTTCCATTTCTGCCGCCTTCTTGGGCCAGTCGTGATATAACCATATTTATATAATCATTTTCCCGATGCTGTCATGCACCCATCCAGGCCCGGCATGAAGTATTTCTCGACTGCCATCGAAGATGGCGTTTGTGCAGGAGCAGCAGAAATGGGCTTTTCTCTTCCCTTTGGTAAGGATGATCTGGGGCCGTTTGATGTCTCGTGTGTAAAAGTGAGGCTGGAAAGACCTATGTTCAAATATGAACCCCCCCCTACATAGCTATGACAGTGAATTTAAGGCAGTAAATTTTCTCTCTGCCTCTTGTCCTAACCCTCCTTGCAGGGTCATTTGAAAATAAAATGGAGTGAAGACAAAATGAGCCCTTTAGAGTAAAAGTTAAGACGTAAACGCTTTAAAGCAGTGGTTTCCCAGCCTTGGGTCTCCTGACGTTCTTGGACTACAACTCCCAGAAGCCTTCGCCACCAGCTGTGTGGGTCAGGATTTCTGGGATTGAAATTCCAAGAACATCCGGGGACCCCAGGTTGGGAATCCATCCCTTATGGTGTTGCAGGAGCCGTTTGTCTCAATTAGGCTGTCCTCCAAAGGTTAATTGGATGGCAACTCCTCTCAGCTTTAGCCAGCCCAGTCGAGTGAAGGCTGCTGGTCCTTGTAGTCCAAAAGGATCTGGATGAGGTTAGGGTGGAGTTGCTCTTTGTTCATCCTGCTCTGACTGGCTCAGAAAGGATGGATGAGCACAGGAATCTAGAATATTTCAAAAAATATTTTTACTCCACCTTTCTCCTCGAAAGGACCCAAGGCAGTTGAAGATACAGTTTTGAAAGTCAGAGGGATAGCTGATGGGGGAAAGAACAATATCGCTTAGGGTTCTGCCTTCTTATCCTGGCTCTGCCAACGTTGCAAGACAGAATTTCTAGAAGAGAGAGAGAGGTCCCTCTGGAGAGGGTGTGAGGAAAGTTGATTTCGGGTGTTTGAAAGGCCAAAAGAGGATCCGGGGTGACGTCAGAGAGCAAAGTAGAAAAAGCAAAGCAGTCTTTAGGACCAAACTGCATGAAAGGAACTTGGACTGTGTCATGTTTCGTCTGACAGGTAAGTGAACGTCTACCTTCTGGAAGAAGCCCGAGAAGACAATGGCTCACAGCCAAGGAAGGAAAAGGTCTCGGAGTCGGAGCCGGAGCCGGAGCGGCTTCCGGAGCCAACGAGACGTGGAGAAGAAGAAAGTAAAGAAAAGGAGGAAGAGCAGCAAAGACTCCCAGGGCAGAAGGAGCCCTTCTCCTGCTGGCAAAAGAGGGCCTGAATCTCCGAGGGCCCAGGCGGGCTTGGCTTCGGCCAAGGATGGTGAGTGTATGTGAAAAGGGACTGCTAAGGTTGGCCAGTGGCCGTGGGCCAGGCCCTGCCGGGCTGCAGCTCACATCTCCCCTGTCTGTGTTGTGTCCAGACAACCCGACAACATCTGGGGAGGGGGCTCCAAGTTGTCTGTTCCTTTGCTAGATCAGAAGCTCTGTGCGTCTTGTGGATCTTTGCCCGACAGATACGGAATGTGAGCCCTAGAGAGAGTGGGTGCTGTGTTTGTTGGTTTGTTTTGTATTTTAGGCTTAGAGAGCTCAGTCTAGTTTGGGACTTGGCCGGAGGGAAAGCCCGGATCGTTGAATAATGTCACACAAGTGCAGATAGATCAGGTTCTGTTAATGACTCAAAAAGAGAACGCCTTCTGTTTTACTTCTTTTCGGCTTGTGCTTCTGGAGTTGTATTGTGACATGACAGATAACCCCTGCTTATTACTGGTTGCTGCTGGGTTCCAGTGAAAAAGAAGAGAAGGGATAAGAAGAAAAGAAAAACGAGTGCCGCCACCACCTCTTCTTCTTCGGAGTCCTCCTCCTCCTCCTCGTCTGGATCGACGTCCTCTTCCGATTCTTCTCCGGGAGAGTCGAGCGAGGGTGAATCCAAGCCGAGAAAGAGGAAGCCGAGCAAGAAGAAGCTGTCCAAGGAGAAGAAGCGGAGGGGCAAGAAGAGGAAGAAGAGGAAGAAGAAAGCAAAGAAGTCGTCGAAGGAGAGGGAGAAAGAGGGGAAGACCAAGAAAGAAGAGGTGCCAGGACCATCTCTGGACCAGTGGCAGAAAGAGACAGTGGCAGACGCTGGGCCAGGTATAGTTTGCATTTTCAGCAGGGACACCAGTTCATAACACCTACTTTTCAAAAGCCCTCGTGGGCGACATCCTGCCAACAGGAACATCCTGGTGGCGAAGCCTTGTTTGTTCATTTAAAGTATCTCTACCCTGCCTTTCTCCTTGAAAAGGCCCGATCAGCAGAATCTGGAAAGGTTTCTTCTGAGACTACAGGTCCCAGAATCCATCAGCCAGTATGGACACAGGGCATGAAGGCAGCCCAGGGAATTTTGGGAGTTGTAGTCCAAAGGGCAGCATTCCCAAGTTCTCCCCATGGAGGATAATCCATCCTCTCTTGCTCGTGGTTCTTGGGGACGTCTTCCTACTTCCTCTGGCTTTGCTCCCTGCCCTCTGCCTTAGAGGTCACTTCGGATCTCAGCTGCCAAGGGTGGCACAAAACCAACTGCCTGCCTCCGATATTCAGGCCGTTCAGCTCATAATTAAGTTGGATGTTAAAATTAACAGCATCGGGGGAAATTAATCGTTGAAGGCAGCTTTGAATAAGTCGGTTTTCACCAGTTTCCTGAACAGAAAGAGAGAAACAGCCTGGCATATCTCAGATGGCACCTTATTCCAGAGATTGGGGGCTACCACTGAAAAGGCTAGGACCTTGTTATCACCTTTTTGGCCTCCCTCCTTGTGGCTATTTTGAGCAGCATGGCTTGACAAGAGTGGGTGAATTGTGTAGCTGACTTCAGAGAGAGAGAGATGTGTTACATAGTGAGGGGCTGGAAGGTGAGATGCTGCAGGTTGGGCCACCCTTTTTCTGACGGAGGCCTCCTTTTCAGCCCTGACAGATGAGCAGAAGTCCCGCATCCAGGCCATGAAGCCGATGACAAAAGAAGAATGGGACGCACGACAGAGCGTGATAAGGAGAGTTGTGGACCCAGAAACAGGAAGGACGAGGTGCGATCCTTGGGGCAGGCTAGCAGGCTCACTGCTGTGCCTTTCCGAGTTTAATTTATTAACGTATGAACCCTGTTCTTTTTCCTCAATCCCTCTTTTCTCCTTTGGAAACCAGTTTTTAGATTTGTATCATCTGAACTATGGGCTGTTCTGAAAAATGTCCCTGATCCAAGGCATGTAGACAGCAGCCCTGTGGGTGTTACGTGAGCTGACACCACTGATGGCGTTTCTCTTACAGACTCATCAAAGGCGATGGTGAGGTCCTGGAGGAGATTGTTACGAAGGAGCGCCATAAAGAAATCAACAAGGTATGGGGGCTGAAGCAGATTAGGATGTGACCAAGTGGCCGGGGGCTACTTATCGTCAAAGAACTGAAGCAGATTAGGATGTGACCAAGTGGCTTATGGACTTCCGCATTCAGAGTTTGTCGCTGGCTGCCCTTTTTTCTTAGCCAGAATGCCCGACCCCTGCCTGCCTTCAGGGAAGCCAGTGGGCACCCCACGGACTTCTGTGTTATTAAAACATTTCCGATCAGATGGGTTCGTTGTTGGGAAGTGGGGCAGGGAGCATTTTTCTGACGCTGCTGGGAAGAGGGACCTGGTCGATCATCCCCCGATGCCCACTTCGAACCCTGCGGTTTTCCTGGGACTCAAAGTGGCAAGAGATGGCCGGCTGGCCATTGCTGAGGAATGGGAGACACTTTCTCCTCTGCGACCATCAGCGGGGATCCCTAAATCTCAAGAGGAATCGCAAGGGAGATTTCTGTCTCCCTTATCCATGCACACGGAGGGATGTGTGCGTGCCCACGCTTCTGCGAGTAATACAAGACACCGAGTCTTGGGGCAGGAATGGGGTGCAGTCCTGTCTCCCAGCTATCACACAATAACTATGGATGAAGATAATATTCTGGCTTTTGCCTCACTGACTCATTTCTGTGCAGCTGTGGCTGCATTTTACTATACAGGCCCAGGGTTCTTAGCCATCCCGCTTTGGTAAAGCAGCCGTGGATAAGTCACGGCCCACTAGTAGCCTTTTAAATAAACCAGAAGGGGGTCTTCTGTTCACAGGCTGTTAACAACTGTAGTTAGAAGTCTGAATCAGACTGTTTGGAACCGCTGGTCTCCCTCCCCCCCCCCGGTCACTTACATGCTGGTTTGTATTCGGCGGGGTGGCTGTCCCCGGTGGATGGTGCATGATGTTCAATAAAGCCAACAGGCTCCGTTGCCCACCTGCCCCTCACTGACTGCTTTCATCTGATTCGGTTGGGCAGGTTTCTATGTCCCTAAAACAAAACAAAACAGATCCTCTGCCAATCCCAGATTTTCTCTCCCTGAACTGTAAAGGATGGAGACTCCTAATCTATTCAGTCTCCATTCTCAAATACTTTTGTTTTTTTGTTCATGAGGGACAGCAGCATGATTATTTTATTCAAAGAAAGAGGTGTTCTTCTCTAGATCCCGTTATAGTCGGGGTCGGCCCTATTGGGGCTTCTGGGTGGTCAGGCGCATTATCCCTTCCCAGGGAGCTGGCTGTGCCGGTCAGGTCTTAGAGGAGCTGTAGGCCAACCCCCTTCTCTCCCTGTCTGGACGGTCACCCTGGGGGAACCTTGGTATTCAGGGTCTCCTACAATGTACTTCCTTTGCAGTTCCGAAGACCCGAGGATAACTTGTGTTGCCTTTTTTTGTCCATAGCAAGCCACGCGGGGAGACGGCCTTTCCTTCCAGATGAGGACAGGGATGTTGCAGTAGCCGGCGGGTCCCCGATGGACAAAGACCGATGCTCTTTTTCAGAAGCAGGCCTGTGCCTCCCTGGCCCCTAAGGACTGTGCACCCACGGCGTGTTTTTGAGAGAAAGAAAGAGGGCTGGCGAGGGGGGCACTAAGAGCCTCTAAACTGAAGGGGCCGCCTGAGTCCCTCACCGGCTGGGCGGCAAGCCCTCCAGTTTTCCTATGGGGGGGCGGCCAGTGGCCCTCAGCTGGAGCCCTCCAGGGGCGCTCCACCCACTGCCTTCAGCATGTTTCCTTTGCTCCCCAACTCCCTTCCTGGATGAAGCCAGTTGCTCTTGAATCAAAGGGAAGTGAATGGAGCCGGACTTTGTAGGATGTGGAGAGGGAACGGGCACCCCCACCTGAAAGAAGCTGGCCAAACAGGGTGCCTCCTCCTCCTCCTCTTCCTCAGCAGATGGACCGAGGGCAGCAGTACCTGGGCTCAGCCAAGCCAGGCAGGGAATTGTGAATTTGAATTCTGTGGGTCTCCATTCCCTGGGAAGAGCTGGTCGAGAGGCAGCCACTGCCGGTTCCCACGTTCACTGGGCTCAGAGGTCTGAATGGAGGTAGGGAGCGACTGGGGATCCCTCTCTTTTGAGTATTCCTCGTTGCCCTTGTGGGTCCACGAGAAGCACCCCTGTGGCCGTCCCTCTGTGCCCAACCCTAGCTCCTGGGTTCTGCTCGCAAGGATGAGACAGCGGCTGGTGGGCTTCGTTCTTTCTTTGTGCCCACCTTCAGGCCCAGCCATGCCCTGCCGCCCCGCCTCTCCGCATAACCCACTCAAAGCTTCAGGAATGTTTGCCTGCGGCTGAGCCACCCCCCCACATGCATGCAGCTCATGTTTTCTTTAGCTCTCCGGTCTGCCACACACCCCTCCCTGCTTCAGGCTCTCCAGATTTGCTGGACGGTCCTGCCCAGCGTCCATCTCTAGGGGCTCTGCTGAACGTGGCCAGTGGGAATGGCAGGGCTGTACCTGGAAAGCCCCCCCCATGCCCTCCCACCTCTGTCGAGAGGAGACAATCGGGGTTGGGCGGGCACTGGACTGTCTTTCAGATCGATCTGGCCTCTGCCAGCAGGAGGAGCAAGGAGGATAGGGTCCTCCAGATACGGTTGGGCATCCCTTCTGTTATTCTCCCAACTCAGCATGGCTCATAGCGAGGAGGGCCGATGGGAGCGGTGGTCCGAGAACATCCAGAGGGCCACAGGTTATGTGGTCTGGCCTCTGGGTTCACAGGTGTACACTCTGCCATCAACAGTGAAATAAAGCTGGATTTCTGCCTCAGTGACTCCAGAATATATGGATGTGTCTTAAAACTCCCTCTCTTTAGTGTCAGGGGTGCATTTGTAGCTTTTGGGGGTGCATTTGTAGTTGTTTTAAGGGGGCTTTTCCCTTATTGCCAGTGTTTGTCCCTAAGGGAAAGCTCTCGGGGGCTGCTTATGCCAGTCGCTTTAGTCAGCTGGCAAACGTGGTCCCGTCAAGAAGAGAGAGTCTGTCTGTTTTCTCCGATTCCTATCCAATCAGGCAGACCTCTTACCTCGGCTCATCTCTTTATCACAAGGGCGTTCTGTAAAAAGTGGATGTTGCTGCTCACGAGCTCTTACAAAACCCTCATTGCAGTCAAAACATCTGCCAGGCATGCTTGTGGAAACACTGTGTGTGTTACATCCTGTTGGCTAGCTCTCTCCTGTTGAACGGCATTTCATACTGGAATTGTCCCCAAGGAAATCTAGGAGAAGCAGGACAGAAAGTGTTGCTAAATAGGTTATAAAGTGTTGGGAGGGCCCCGTCCAGCAGAGTTCAGTGAAATTATATGGATTACAATGGGAAGGTTAAAGACATGCTTAACTATCTGCCTTCAAAACCAGCAGAACTTTGAAGTGCTTACATTTGGCAGGAATGTGGTCTTTAAAAGTGTGAATTTGCCGTACATCATCAAGTGCTTGCATGGGACACCGGATACCGGGAATATAAAGTCTGTCAATTAACAAAGAAGGTTGTTTCAATCACATTCCTGGTTTCGGGAGGTCATTTCTTCAGTACAGTATACTAATGAGAACTGCTGAGGAACGGGATGTTATGCCGAAACTGACTACCATCGGCGTGTTGCTGAATTTGCTACAAAATCCCACCGTGTGCTTTCATTCCTGCTCTACTTTGAGAGTATAAACACACCTGTATCTCTTGGGCCAAGTGGCCTCACTGAGAGGGTCTGACATGCCCCAAACCAGCTGGTGAACTTTGCAGCTAAAGAGAGATTGGAAGCAATTTCTCCTTCCTGGCTTGTTGCTACCCCTGCTGATAAAGTACCCCTGATTAATCCCGTTTGGTGAACAACAGGATGGCGTTTGCACAAGCCACCCAAGCTTTGGCTGGCTTAGTCTGGGGAGGGACTGTTGCCCTCTCTCCTCCACTCTCATCAGCACCAGCCATGATAGCCAAGGATGAGGGATGTTCAGTAGAAAAGCATCTTGATGTTAACCCTTGGGCTTAAGAGAAGCACTCGGTACAAAGGCCAGCTGCTTCTGAATCACTGCAAGTAAACGTTCTTCTACTTTCTCACCTGGCGTACGGTGTCCAGTTACCAACACGCTGGAAGGCTGGTAAGATGGCAGCACGTGTGGAAACCAAGCCCTGTGATTGGGGACATGGAGTCTGCAGCAGAAGACAAGACAGATGAAACATAGCAGCTATTCTGAAGATGTCCGAGTGGCTAACACATGGAAGATGGAGCCACCACCTTTCTCTGTGGTTGCCCGGATGTCAGAACACCCTCTCTCCTCCCCCCAAACAATGCATTCAAATTATGAAGGAGATTTCAAACTTCTCTGTGTTAAAAGCTGCTTAATAATTGATTGGACAGGTGCCTCCATAGAGGATTTTAAGCAGAAGTTGGACGACCATCTGTCAAGAATGCTCTAGCTATGCTCTTGGGCAATGATGAAGGAGCAGGGATGGGCATCTCCTTCTAAGTCTAGAATTCTGATTTTTTGGGAAGGGAAGTCTGTGGCTGTGGGAGCCTTGGCTTACAGCTTCCCCAATTTTCTCGCCAAGGGGGGGTGAAAAATCGCAGACAAGGCAGACCTGGCCACACGGCGCCGAGATGCGGCCTCTTTCCCTGAAGCGCTTTGTCGCTGGACGCCACCGGCTCCTCCGACCGAAAGGCTTGCAAAGAAGCAGACCCCACAAGACAGCCTTCCCATTTCTTTTAATCGGTGTTGAACGTACAACTGACAACCACATACAAAGCACTGGCACACCCAGGCTGCGGGATGAGGCGGCAGTTAACAGCAAGAGGACGATGGTTGCCACGTACAAGACCAAAGAGCTGGACACAATCATGCGCACAAAACACGGTATAACGGAAAGATGAACAACGGCCCCCAGTGGGTGGGTGGGAGGAGAGTGGGCGTTTCGGCGGTGCCTTTTCCGCATTAAACAGTCTCTTGGTCGGCCAGTGCCCTTCCTCCCCGCTACCCCAGGCGCCAGCTGCATCCTTCAACCCCCACTCCACCGCACCCCAGCCCAGCCTTGCCTTCCTTTACAGAATGGACATTGTAACAGTCAGAGAAAAAGACGCCTCGGAGATGAGAAGAGGGAGACAAAGGCGTAAGGCTTTTGGGACTAACAGGTAAACTGCAGCAATGGAAAGATACCTGAATAAGAGGGAGGGCTTCCAGCTAAGTAAGTGCGGGAGAAGACGGCCGGGAGGAGCAATGGGTCTCGTTCACTTCCTCTTCAGCAGATGACTTTCCTTGACCTAGCTTTAGGCTCTGTAAACATTGATCACTCTTAAAAAGATGTTCTTGTCAAGCAATGCTAACCAACTGGCCCAGCGGTGAGCAAGTAACAGGAAGCAGCCTTTTTTTTTATTTTGGAAAGAAGGGACGTCATACAACAGGGTGAGTCTCTTTTTTTCCACCAAACTCCCATATTTATTCAGTACATCTCCACCCTTGTGGAAATCAGGGCGATAGACACAGCAGTTCTGGGGCAATCTCTAGGTACAGACCAGATTTAGAGCTCTTTAGTGTCAGTAAGGTGGCTCCGGTAGGTGCCCTCAAGGAATGGTCTTGGAGCACAATCATAGTTCGTAAAAGCCAATTTGGGTGTTGTTGTTGTTTTTGACTACCATGGTGACCAACCATCCTGGCTACCGGATTCTGAGAGTTATAATCCCCAAAAAGTAACTTCCATAAGATCTGTGAACTCAGCCGGTCCAGACTGTCAGCCGATACACATAGTAACCTGGAGTTATTTCCCACTGAAGTCAGTGGAGGCTTCCCTCGGAGTGGAGAGGCATAGGACTGCACGGTCACCAGGATTTGTATTCAACACTAGGATTGCAATCCCCTCCAAAAAACAAGGGAACTGACCCCACTGTGCACAGCAACACTTAATTAGGAGCAAACATTCATAAAATCAAGTTGTACAAATACCAGAGAGAGAGAATAAACCTGTGTCAGGATTGATCACCTTAACCTGTGGTGTTTTTTTTTAAACTGTAAACATCCTGGGATTTTGCAAAACGCAGACTCGTGTGACAAATCTGGAGAACAGTTAATTAAATTTCTCACTCCACCCACTTAGGCTTTGTGGTGCTTTTAACGTGATGGGCTTAAGGTTTCTCCAACTCCACCCCCTGGCAACAAGGTGGGCTAGAAGCCTGCATCTGAGGCTTTCACTTGAACACAGAAAGTTTTATTAATATATGACATCCTAAATAAAGGGGTTAGGGAGGAAGAGTCTGGACTGAAAAAAAAGGGAAACCCCAAACCTACTAAAACTCTAAATTCAGTGCAAAAGTGGGTCAATTTGTGTAATCTAAATAAATGATTGAAATCGCCTCTGTGTGCCTGATACATAACCTACTGCCCATTAAGAGAAGAACATGTGGGTACAGATTTCACCCTGTCTAAATGGACACAGCTCAAAAAGTTATGTCATTTTAAACTGCACCTTTGTTGGTTTTAATGCTTTGATTTTAATGTTTTTTTTACAGTGGGGTTAGTTTGCATGATTTTATAGCTAAATTTGGTTGTATTTGTTTTTATTGTTTTATGAATAAGAAGCCTTGAGTGTAATTTTTCCCCCCCAACTGGAAAGGTACAACATGAATGTCACAAATAATAATTATGGATGATAACACCCAGAAACTCAATTCCTGGACAGCGGTTGGCAATGCTACGTCCAGCCTTGAGTGTTATTTTTCCCCCCAACTGGAAAGGTACAACATGGATGTAACGAATAATAATTATGGATGATAACATCCAGAAACTCATTTCCTGGACAGCGGTTGGCAATGCTACGTCAGTGACTCTAGAAGCAGCCTGAGAAAGTAATTTCCCCAGGTTTGGCCGTCTTGCTAAGCTCCCTTGGGTGTTCTAAATGTGTCAGACGCTCTCTACAGTTTTCAAGCGTATCTATCCCAGTAATGAGGACTAGAATGCTACTCTTTGAGTGAATTCCAAGATTCACCGGCTGCTGTGCAATAACTGAAACGTAAGAATATATACAACCTTCTCTTAAATATAAATAGGGGTGCTCGGGTTGACTAGTGCAAGCGTTTCTAGATATCTGGAAGAGATGCATTTCCAAACTTTTGACCTCTCCCTTTCCTCAAATCCCAGTTGGTTTGTCATTAAAAGGCTTCTCTCCAAATTCATTCCCGAATTTTTTTAAAGACACTCTGCTTCCCAATTGGCCTATTGCTATGGCTGTTTAAATGCTAAAGAATAGGACTGCATAGCCTTTAAAGACCAGGATAACAGAGCAGAGGAAGATGGTACACAAGACTCATGCACCAGAATGACAAGATCTTGGAGGGCCTTTTAAAATGCACGAAACTAACCTTAACAGATCTCCTGGATCTTCTCTCACTCTGTGTCATATCCTCTAGTCGTATTATTGCAACAGCAAAGAAAGGTGCTGAGCTAGGATGTCTTTATCCTCGTGGAATATGAAACGACCTTGTGGAAAACAAGCGCAAGATAATGGCTGGAGGTCAGGATGGCAATCCAGACCGTGAGTCAGGGACACATGGGAAATGATTGTCATTCTTGTGGATTGTTTGTTTCAAATACGGATTCATGGGAGACGATTAGCAGATTGCACTTAGTATTGACAGCTACTTTAAACTTGGGTCCTCTAAAATCATTATTTTTGTACGTAACACCTGAAATAAAAAAAAAAGAAGTAGTAGTAGGGGGAGACACATTTTCAAATGTGGATGAATGCTGAAGGGTACTTCCCCTCCAGACATAATTTCTTGACATGAAATAAAATCCTGAGAGTAGATGCATTTCCTCCCTTCCACTCTCCAAGCATTAACATTGTTCTTCGATTTACACTATCCACACACGTACAAGAAAGAAGACACTCAACTTCTCATCTGACGACTGAAAAATATACATGGCGCATCTTGGTTTATGAGCCTCTGTTTGCAGGAAGGGTTGAATGTGCGAAAGCTGAACCCAGAATCCATGGCCATCTAGTCTCCTTTGCGAGGATGAATTAGGACAAAACGGAGTCCGACCCGCATGATTAGATGAGCTACAGAGAGCGGACAAAGAGCTAAATAGTGTAAACCCCCCCCTTAATTCTTCCCACCCCTGAGCTTTTTTGACGTACACATCCAAAGGGCTAGGCTGAATTAACAGGAAGGAAAGCAATTTTTAAGTAGTTTTTTTTAAAAAAAACTGCCAGTATCTTCTTTTTGACTTTATCTGAGACGAGTGGCGTAATGATCATGCAATACAGCTAGCTAGACCATTGACCTGCGTCGGGGATTACAAGCTTCATTTCAGAAGAGGTGCTGTTTTCCGGAATGAAAGCTATTCATCCCTTTTAGAGAAGCGCTCTTCTAAAAGGAGCATGCCCCTTCGCCTCTGGTGTCCAAACCCAAGTAGCAAACGAGGGGGTATCCATCTTTGTCCGCCCACGTCTCCCAACGAGCTGTCAAGGCCTCATTGTGTGTGACTCGAAAGGAGCCTGCGTTCACAGTGCTGGAAGTCTTGGTATTGAAAACATTGGAAAGGAAGAGAACAAAAAAACACGATCGGGCTGGAAAAGATGGAAAAGCCGTTTCCCATCAAGGGTCGTTAAATAGGAAAGAGAGCTTTGGACCCAGAAAGGTGCCTGTGGAAATATATTTTTTTAAAAAACCCACCAGAAAGGGCAATGTTGGTTTGGAAAAGGGGTTTTTCATTCATCTATTTTTTTTGAAAGGAAATTTTAGAAATCGGTGGAAATTATAAATCTTGACATGGGGTGGACACCGGATAGGACCAAGGAGGTTTCACAGATCCTTCCTTGTGGCCACTTTCCCTCTTCTGGTCGCTTCTCGTATTCTAAGACGCCTAATAGAGGGCACCGTAAAGCCAGAGCATCTTTTAAAATCATAAGGCGAGGAGAAGGCAGATACTAAATGCAGTGCTGCTCACAGACCTTTCTTCCTCTGCACCAGATCCCTCACATACGGAGTTTTCGGTACAGAGAGAAGCTAGAGGTGCTTAAGAAAAATTTCTTTAAAATGTGCATTCCTTACTTGGGACTATCACCTTATGTAGTTTTGTTTGTTGGTCTGCATCCATATATGTCTCTCTCTGTGTGTTTGGGTGGACGTAACCCTCGCACCTCGTAACATTTAACTGTCATGCAATATAAATAGGGAGAGTATAGCTTCATAAAATGTTACGCCTTCTAAAAGTTAAATCAGTGCAAAACAAATAAAAACAATGAGGTCTTACAGTTGCATAACTACAGTTAAAAAGAAAGCAAGTTCACATCCTCTGTCGAAAGCTGTACCAAGAAGTTGGAAAGAAGGAACGAATCTCTCATCTCGAGGGAAGGCGAGAGGCAGAAGAGAAATGGGCAGAAGGGGTTGGGGTTGGGGTGAGAATTTGGACCTATGTTTTTTTTCTTCTCCTTTCCTTTTTTTTAGGCTGAGAGGATGTTTCTATTATGCGTTTCCCAGGTGCTTGAAAAGATGCTGCAGCTGTTTTCCAGAAGGCCTCCCGTAGCTTAATAATATTTGGAGAATGGTCCATGTCTTCAGCCCCTGCTTCTCTCCTTGGCAGTTCCTGTTACTTGGGGTTTCTTCTTCCGAACTAACCAGCTACCAAAAGTCTTGCTTTGTTTTCTTTCCAATATTTCCTATGCTTCAAGGGGGGGGGTGTTTGGGAAAAAAAAGAAAACAGGAGTCATTAAAAAAAAAGAAGACCACCACCAAACCCAAGAATGAAATCCCGTGCTCATCCCAGCAACGGCCACGAAGGAACCGCCGGCAAAGTCCGTCCGTGGGTCTTCGTTCCATCGTTGAGAAAGGATGAGTCCTTAGCAGCCGCTACCCGCCTGGAGTTCTCCCCGCCTGCAAACCACGTTTTCTCCAGGCTCCGGAAACCAAGCCGTTTGTTTTGTTCGCTGGCGGCAGCGTCTGCCCATCCAGGCAGGGACCAGAACCAGCCGCGGAGGTGTCCACATTTGGGCCCCGCACCGCTGGGCATCCCCGGCCCCAGCCCAACCCAAGTAGCCTCTTTTGATGGCTACGAAGCGGAGGAGGCACCTATGTACAACGGCTCGGACCTGGATAAGAAGGTTGGGGGGGGGGAAAGATGGCCTTGGTGGCCTGTGGGTTTGCCCCTCCTCTGGACCCTCTCCTGACGTGGCCCTTCCCCTTGGAAAGGCGGCCTCGGTTCCTTTTCACACGTCGGGTCGTGCTCTGCAAACCGAGCACCTGCGCGTCTGGTGTGGAAAACTGAAACCGCGCGGTTGTCCCCTCGCAGGTGTTGCCGCCTCGCTGGCATGGAGTAGCACCATATTTGCACTGCCTAGTCCCACACGGCAGGCCTCGGTCTCGTTGCTTCTTCCGCATCTGGACCCCCCCTCCGGGCGTCCACAGTTGCCTGTCGGTCGCTCCCGAGCCGGCTCCTACTTGGGTCCCAGGGCGCCTGGCTCAAGCTTGGAGCCTGTCCCTCGCCCCCAGCACCCCGTGGCGAGGCTCATGCTCCTCTGGCTCCGCTCCTTCTCCCTCTCCCTCTCCCGGTCGCTCTCCGACTGGCTGAGCGTTCGCTCGGGCCGATGTCCCAGGCTCCCGCTGGCTGCCGCCGCCGTGGGCTGAGAGGAGATGGTGCGCAGCAGGTGGTTCCTCTTCCGCAGGAATTCAGTCTGGCCCGGGAGGCCAAAGCTCCCCTTCCGAAGAGCCATCCGGGTGGTGTTTTTGGCTGGCCGGGAACGGTGGGTGTACTCCAGCTGGGCCAGGTGGGCCGCGTACCCCTCCGTAATGAACTGCAAGTTTTTAGAAACAAACAAACAAAAAACGAAAAGGCTTTATATATAAACAGTCCCCTCTTCCACACACCGTTCTTTCTCGCTAGCTGCACGCAGTTTTCAACGTGACCTTTCAGATGGCAGTGAGGATGGATCGTGGGAAATGCTTGGGGGTCCGAATCCTACAGGCTGCGGATCTCGCAGTCCGCAGTCAAATGTTTCCCATTCCTGGGAGGAGGAGGGAGACCAGGGATATTTTACTCCGTGGAAATTCATCATCACAGCCAGGGACTGACCCAGGGGTACACAAGGGAGGTCTGTGATGAAGCAGGACCGCAGGTGCGGCCCCGTAACCTCTAGGCAAGCCCACCCTGTTGAGATCTCCCTGCAAGCACAAAGGACATTTCATCTCCCTCCCATGCTTGTGCCGAACTGCAAGGACGCATCAGGGCAGTGATAAATTTCCATTCGCCACTCGGGAGAACAATATGTACAACTGGCTTCGTACTTGCATGCTGTGATGAGTCACCACCCAGAGCAGCCATCTGTATCTGTCCAAGAATCACCCAAGCTGACATCTCTACTTTTTTGCTGATCCTACAGATGCTGCTGCTGCACAACAGCCGACATGCATCTTTTGAACACTTTGCAAAATAGATCGACGGATCACCCAGCCCGCCCCCAACCCGCTTCGCTCAACGTTGGGTGACTGTCTAATGCAAAATTAATTCCATCCAAGCCTATGGTGAAAACTTGGGCGGTAAATATGTAAATGTTGGCCACAGGAAAGTCCTGTCATAGGGATGCAAGAAGCTTCTCTGGATCCCATCTGAGGCCTGTTGAGTCCCACCATCCCCTCATTTCTACTCTTGCAAAGGGATCTGCACTGCCAGGTTTGCCATCATTACCTGACAATGGTTCTGCAACTTCTTGGTTGGCCGCCCAACTATGAAGATCTGCGTGGGTAGCAAGTTGATGGAGGTGTAGACAGAGACGTCCTTGGTGGATCCGTAAGCTGCGTGGATTTTCATGTCGAGCTACAGGGCGGGGGGGAAATAAACACCAACTGGGATACAAATCCAGACCTGGGCACTGGGCACAGGACTCGTAAAAGGACGATCACATCTGTCCCTTCCTGCTTTCATCCAGAACTTACCTCTGCGAGAAGGGACCTCAGGAAATTGGCCTTGTGCCGAAGCGGGTCGTGAACCAGCCCATCGCAGAAGGAGACGATCCCATGGGGGAAATTGTGCTGTGCTAACCAAGCCACCACCCGTTGCTTCTGCATGTCGGGCCGGCCTGTGACGTAGATAATGAGGTAGCCGAGGTCTTGCCAGTGACTGGGAAGGAAAAAGAAGAGGGGAAAGGTGGGCATTTTAAAACGAAAGAAAGAGTAACAGAATCACAAAACACAACCAACAGCAAACACCACTTGTTAAGACTTGAGGAATAGTTGCTTCTAAATATATGCCCAGTGCATTCATCGAGACATTTAAGGCCTCAGTTCTGAAAGAGAGACGATTCCGAAAGCCCTCGTACCGGACGACATCCACCGCTCCTGCTCTGACTTTGGGGTCGCTGCCCATGATCGAAACGCTGGCTGCAAAGGAGCCGTCGATGCTGAAGACCACAAACTCTGTGCCTCGGGGCAGGACGGTGATGTAGCTGTCAGCATACGTGTGGTCGCCCCTGAGACAGAAAGAAAAAAAGCAAATGGCAGAAAAATGTAGAGCAGGAGATGCCACCTATCGATCTCCCCACTATCTATCCTATCTATCTATCCTATCTATCTATCCTATCTTATCTATCTTATCTATCTTATCTATCTATCTATCTATCTATCTATCTATCTATCTATCTATCTATCTATCTATCTATCTATCTATCTATCTATCTATCTATCTATCTATCTATCTATCTATCTATCTATCCTATCTGTCTGTCTGTCTGTCTGTCTGTCTGTCTATTGATCACTTGATTGATCGGATAAGCTCAAAGCAGCCATGACACATGACTCTCCTACCCGCTTTAGCTTCATAACAACTCTTGTCAGGGTGACACACAGAAATGAAGAGCAAAATCGGGATCTGAACTCGGGAGATCTCCTGAGTCCTAGCCGAACATTTTAATCTGCCCCTGTGTGATGCTATTTTGCTTCTATTACAGAGAACTTTGGAAGAGCACACTCTTGAATTCCTTTCACTATGCACTACGGAAAGGCGCTGCTTCCCTTACAAGCCTGAAATGGCAACCAGTTTCATCTTCCCAGTCAGCCATGAGGTCCACCAACTAACTTTGGAGTTAATCCTGATCTTTCCGCCTTATTCAGACTTTATCTGCTTGTCAGGAGCAGAACAAGGGGGTGAAGGCATATGCGAGAGGGGGATTCTAATGCTGATCGTGAAACAAATATAAAGGGGTAGTGATGCCCAAATGGCTAAGCCTGTAACGAAGCATACCTGACCACCATCTTGACAGGATACACGCCGATCCCCAACCGCCTGTTCTCTGGGATAACGTAGGAAATCCTGCCACTGCTGTTGGTGATCTCCGTGTCAAAGTAAACCCATTCCCCTGATGGGGGTTGTGTCATTATATGAATGTCCACCTGAGATGCAAAGCAAGTTTGGAGAAAGAAAACCAGAAATGAATGGAGCCACCAGTGTAGCTATGAAACAATATATCAATGCCTCGCTTTCTCTGAATTCATAGGCTTAACACACACATTTTTTATCATCCTTTCTGTCACTCTCAGTCCTTTTTTTATTTTTGGCTGACATTGACTTCCAGCTGCTAGTTGCTATGATACTTCTGATAAGTTGTAAACAGCCTCTTGGCACAGATTATATTTCAAGCTCACCTGATCCAGACATTAACTATGACCTGGACACTTAAGTAATAGGAAAAGTACTACAGAATTTACCCAACGGTATCTTTTGTTGAGTGAAACAGGAACGAATCAAATTGGCACTAAATCATACCTTTTCCCCCGTGAGTGTGACCATGTCTAACGGGCCGTACATAAACTTTCCAGTTAACACCTGGGGACCGTCCTCATTAACAACGGGATCGCTTATTCGGTGGTTGGCTGTGACATTCTGTCAAAGAAAGGGGGGGAAAAAAAGGCTTGACTTTTTCTGCAAATTAAGAGGCTCTCCTACCAGCCTAAAGGGAACTCGGGCAGCATCTCGGTGTAGTATTTGTAACCCAGAACGAATATATAGATTTATTCCCAACCCTTATTGACTGCATTTGGCACTTGATGTGGGAGAACGGATCCCTGCCCATTCGGACAAGTCCCAAACCCAGTTTCTAGTGCGATTTGTGTTCTGCTTTGTTTGATGATGCAAAACTAAACAACAATGGTGACAATGATTTAAGAAAACCACAAAGATAAACTGTCATTACCCTTAACTTCACATGGGTCCTCTTGCGCAGCCACTTCTCCCTGGGTTTGGAAGGTGTGAAGACAGAAACCTCTTTCCCGTCGAGCTCCAAAATGCTGGAGTTTTCATGCCGCATCACCTGATGAAAGACTGTGCTAATTAGTGATTTTTACAGAGAAAGTGCTTAATTTTTAAAGCAACACATGTTCATTGCTTGCCAGCATCTTTGACTTTAGGAACAGATACAAATTGATGATCTCACCCCCCCTCCTGTCCCTGCTGTCATCTTGTGGAGCAAAATTCAGAACGTTTTGCACACTTTGGGCTACTTTGGTTCAAAGCAGCAGAGATTCACGCTCTCTGGCGTTTGGCTTTAGAAACGTTGCCGTCTGCAGAAACGACCAGCAAGGATCCTTGCCAGCCAACGAGCTCTGCCCAGTTTCACAAAGCAACCATCCGATTTCATACCAATGCGGGACTCAGTGTTCAGAAAAGTGACTGCTGGAGGTTACAGATCCCCAAACCCATTAGCTGGGGGGGGGATTTTAGAATCCCTACTAGAAAAAGTTACTTGTCCGAGCGCTGACAGGAAGCGAGCCACATGGTTTTTTCCGAGCCACCCCGGACTGACCTGTCTGAGCAAGAAGGAAACCACGTCTGTTGACTCCCAGTAGCTCGCATGGAAAAGGTGAGGCAGGGCGACCGTGGGGAAGGCGGTGAGGGCGTCTGGGCAGTAGAGAGCGTAGTCTATCCTCTTGGTTCCCCACCACTTGGCCGCAACTGAGAACAGAAGAGAAGGGAGACACCAACCCCAACATGTGGTTTCTTTTCGGAAAAGCACGAGAAGGTGACCAAGTCTTAAAACATAAAGATGAACCCCAAAGCAGCTGGAAGTCCATTTTTTTGCTGTAGAAAAATGGGCATCTGGGAGTGTTGCATGATAGAAGAGGATTTCTGTGGCCTATTCAAAGATAAATTGTCGTTCCTGGAGACTTCCTTAAGCTGTAATTCCCTCTTTCTCTCTCTCTCTCTCTCTCTCTCTCTC